GTTGAATTTGCTGCGACAATTCTTTCAGGCAGCACATTCTGGATCCTATCACCTCTATCAACTCAGATTCTCAACATATAACAGAAGTCCCTTATCTGTGGAACCATAGCCATAAATCCTTTCAGCAGACTCGAAAGCTTCACATTGTTCCTGCAGTGAAATGCCCAGAATTTAACATGACATTCTAGCTGAGGTCAAATCATGTGTTTTATAAACCAAGCTATTCATATTTTTACCAACTGAGTCATTTTTGCCAGCTCTAACTGCAAACGTTTCATTTTCCCCATTTTATAAAATATACATACACATTAAACTTAGGTAATGGAAGACTGATTGCAAATTTATAGATTGAGAATTATATTATTGTGATCTGGAGAAAGCCAAATGCAGTACAGTTCCTGTTCATGTCGTGCCTTATAGCCAAGCCATAATATCATACGGAAAGTAAAGATGGTAGTGGAAACAGTATGGCAAGACAAAATGCTCTATAACCTGTCTTTTGATTTTCATTTTTATTTGTGATTGTTCACAGTATGAAACCACTTTCCAATCTCCAGGAGTTATGGCAAGAAGACTCTTAAAAGGGTGAAAGCAGGAGGGAAATTGGGGTAAAACTTAATATACTGGCTTCTCTTCTTTCTTCTGGGTTGGGATGCCATCAGTAATTCTCAGATATCAAGAATTCATCTCATGGGAACAAATGAAAACAAGTTCAGTGCTCAATGACAAGTGTCAGACCTACTTCTTACTAACATATTTTTTCAATTTCTCAAATGCAAAAGTGGAAAGAGTTAGTGTTTAGTAGCAAAATTAAGACTTTTGATGATTAATGAATAAATTCTGCAAAACAAATGGCTTACCTCCAAATGCTGCAGGTGTAGTGCTGGCTCCAGGATGAGTCTGTACTGCTGTAGCACTTTGTACTGTCCCAAACACACTGCAGGAGAAAGCAATCTTTATAACAGTTTCAAGAAATAACAAACAGTAAGGCTAGAACCAAATTCCACCAAAATTGCCATTTTCCACAAAAGCCTTTTCCTATTTTCATTCAACCATTTGATGAGGATTAGCAATATCCGGACATGAAATTACTCGATAATGGGGCAGTTGGGCAACACAGAGCAATTTACATGCAATTCCATGGTTACAACTGATCAAGTGATAGCACCTAATTGCCATATAAAATTTGAAGATTCATTAGTCATCTTCAGGTGCAGCAAGCAATTTTGAAAGAAGTTTAGACTCCATATACCACAGGTGAAGAGAGGTACGTAACTGGGAAAAATCAGATATACCTGTTCCTTTAAGAGGTTTCAGGTCAGATCTGTGAGATCTTCACTTACTGTGTCTATAAAGACTGCCCCCTTCCTGTGTCATCTCCAGTTCATTTCGACCAGAGGCTGTACATTCGGTTTTGTGAAGAGCTGTGATGACTCAGTCCCTTATGATCTTTAGGAAGGAGAGAAACCCCCTGCCTGTAACACTGGAATAGATAGAACTATTAAACATGCAATATTTTAGTGGGCTCAATAGACAGTAAAAGGATTTGATTTAAACAACTTAAAAATATGAATACGTCAGAGCACAGGCAGGCTCTGTTTATACGGATCAGTGCACTTGAATGCAAGGGGTCCTCATTGGAAAAAAAACAAAAAAATTAGAGGCCATTGGGAAAACACCAAAAAAAAAATTGATCCAAATAAGAGGATCTGGTAATTATGCAAAACTTTCATTCAAAAAGTATGTGAGGAAAGCAAAGTATTCTTTTGCTGACAGTTTTCGAGGAACACTAGTGGGAAGAGACTCGTATGAAGTGCTGTAGTTAGGGCTAAATGGTCTGTTTCTGCACTGTAAATTGTGTTCCATTTATTTATACTTCACATTGCCCCCTACAGTGGCATCAGCTGTGGAATACATGAACGTTTAAACACAGCTCTATCACAGACTGGAGTCTCCTGGTAGTTGAGACAAGTATTATGGATACTAAAGATGCCTGTGAGCAGTTTTTAATTGATCTCAATGCATTCATCATTGGCAGGCTGTTAAAAATAGAAAATTAATTTTGTTTGCATATCTGATCCTAATTGAGCAGATGTCACAAACCATCAGAACCTAGGAAATTGTTTGAATTAAATTCTTATCATTATTGTTTCTTTGCATCTATTTTTAAATGATCCACACGAGGTCATTTTTGTTCTAGCAAAATGCTGCTTTAAGCCAAATGCACATCCGAAATAAATTATACTCAGCTCATATTTACAGAGACAACAAGGTGCAGGGCTGGATGAACACAGCAGGCCAAGCAGCATCATAGGAGCAGAGAGGCTGACGTTTCGGGCCTAGACCCTTCATCAGAAAAGGGGGAGGGGAAGGGGGTTTTGAAATAAATAGGGAGAGAGTGGGAGGCGGATAGAAGAGGGATAGAGGAGAGGATAGGTGGAGAGGAAACAAACAGGTCGAAGAGGCGGGGATGGAGCCTGCGGTGTTCATCCAGCCCTGCACCTTGTTGTCTCGGATTCTCCAGCATCTGCAGTTCCTACTATCTCTGATTCATATTTACAGATCTCTTTTTTGGGCAAAAATTAATTGTTGCTTAAATATATAGAGTGTGGGGAATTACTGAACATAATCAGAACCTTGCCCTTTTTGTCCGTAATGTGATACCAAAATAAAAATCAAAAGATTGCATGCCCTCATCTAAGGCAAGCCGTCAATGATGTCTGGATGGATAACAAATGTCCAGATTGAGGCTGAACCCAAGGGCACAAAAAAGTGATGATAATTCTATTTCCCACAACAGAGACTCCTGCAAACAAGATATGAAGATGGTGGACATTGACTCTGACAACTGTGATCTCTGGGGGCTGCATGTTTGGAAGGGCCCAGGAAGAGGCAAAGAGCTCAGTTGGCTAAGAACTGGGTCTAGGAAAAAAAAAAGAGGGCAGCATATCATGATCACACTTCCCTACTTTATACTCCATCTGCTACTTCGTTTCTCATTCACTGAACCTGCATCCATTTATTTGGGGCTCTTTGTGCCAAACTCCCTCACAACCCATACTCCTATCCATTTTTCCTACGACCCAACCAATTGCCAAGCATGCCAAAAAACTTCCCACCAATTCAGCGCACTTTTGCTTTTTCTGATAATCTGTTCTTTCAGCAACTTCTTCCCTTACAAGAAAGGCAAAAGACCTTAAGTTTCGGGCTCCCTTGATTCAGGGGTCAATGCACTCCACAGATTGGTGAACCTGGTTATGTCTCCCTTATTGGAGTACCTTGGCGCAAGATTTCTTCCCGATTTATAGGCTTGATTGGATTACTAAAGGTTGCATTCACTGTACAAATGGACAGAATCCCTGACATTGTGATGCTGAACCCTGTTAACTATTATCCTAGCATTTGGACTACAAATGCAGCATCAAACAGAGTTGCACTTCTAGTTTGCTTCAATTCAAAATAAAAACAAACCAGTAGGAATGGCATGCTCATATTATTAAGGTTCAGGATTCCAATTATCCAAAGTAGTTCTGATTAGCAGCTAGCTTCTTTGCAAATTATGGAACCATACAGCATGGAAACAGATCCTTCGATCCAATTAATCCAAGCCAACCAGACATCTCAATTTGACTTAGTCCTATTTGCCAGCATTTGGCCCATATCGCTCTAAACTCTTCCTATTCATGTACCCATTCTGATGACTTTTAAATATTGTAATTATACCTGCCTCCACCACTACCTCTGGTAGCTTGTTCCATACTCGTCCCACACTCTGCGTGAAAAAGTTACCCTTCAGGTCCTTTTTAAATTTTTCCCTTCTCACCTTAAACCTATGCCCTCTAGTTTTGGATTCCCACACCCTAGGAAAAACACCTTGGCTATTCACCCTAGCTATGCCCCTCATGATATCATAAACCTTAACAAGATCACCCCTCAGCCTCCAATGCTCCAGGAAAATAGCCCCAACCTCTCCCTATAGCTCAAACCCTCCAATGCCAACAATGTCCTTGTAAATCAGTACATCTTTCGGCTAGCAGGGAGACTAGAACCGAACGCAGTATTCCAGAAGTGGCCTCACCTAACATGACATTCCAACTCCTACACTCAATGCACCGACCAATGAAGGCAAGCATGCCAAACACCTTCTTCACTACCCTGTTTACCCACAACTATACTTATAAGGAACTATGCACCTGCACCCCCAGGTCGTTTTGTTTGACAACACTTCCTAGGGCCCTATAATTAATTGTATAAGTTATGACCTGATTTACCTTACAAAAATGCAACACCTCACATTTATCTAAATTAAACTCCATCTGCCACTCCTCAGCTCATTGGCCCATCTGATCAAGATGCCGTTGTACTTCTGCACTGTCCACTAGACCACCAATTTTCAAGGTTTGCTTGACAGTCTCCTATGCAAGTGTCTTTGAAAATCAGGTTATTCAGTGGTTCGTCCTCTTGCAGCTACAAAGGCCTTTCATTTAAAATTAACTTAGTTTGAATCTTTGAAGCTCGCAATTATAAGTTTACCATTGGAATGGCTTTCTGAACCAGATGTTGAACATTAAAACTGCAAACAGCATACAACAAAGGGAACATATATAGAATCATGCAAACAAGCTAGTGAAGAGGATTTTGTCATAAGAAGTGGTTTAAGAGGCTCTCTGCTGCTCACTTCACTCATAGAGAAATCCACCCCATGACATAGTTGATCATAACAGTGGGAGATGATGCAGCAAAAGGGAGAGGTTGGATGTTTTACTGATGCAGCAAGTGAAGATCATGTAGTTCTGGAATGAATTCTCTGGAAGAGGCAGGCAGCCACCTGATTTTTTTTTTTGTTGCGTTTCTTTCCTTACCTGAATGATGTGTGGAGTCTTACCAAATGGAAACAAAATAACATTTCACATTAATTAAATCTATCACTGCACACAGCACACACAAATTGTACACACGTCTTTGAAAAAAGTTACCCTGTGGTTTAATGCTCTATAAATATTTGACCAAATGAACTGAAATTTTGTACTCCAGAGTACTGAACATAGTTCTGTTTTCAGACCAGAATGTTACTAACTTCAAAACAGAAACAGCACTGACCCAGTTTTTGTCTGGTTTTAACATTCTATTATTCTAATGGTTTCCAAGGGCAAGTGATTGTGGAACATCAAAAGAAGAAAAATTTTCACAGCAACATTTTGAAGATATTCATGAATGAATTTCCAATTTAAGGAACCATAAAAAACTGAAGTTTTCTTTGTACAATGAGATGGTATCCTTTAGCTTATGCTGCTTCATTGAACATTTATAACATCCTCAAATGGACATTATGGCACTTGAATCAGTTTTCCATTTGCTGATGTAACAAACAATTGAAATTTATTTCTTGGAAATAGATAATTGTGATCTCTCAGGCTTATCTGGTCGCATGGACACAAAACGTCAAGGAGAAATATGAAGTACTTAAATCAGTTACAATGAAATAAACGGGAAAGGAACAGCCACAAGATGAGCTCTTAGCGTGCAATCTAAACACATCACATCACAGAATTTACAGTTTCCTGTATGCTGTTTACCGATTTCTCTGCTAAGAAACTGCATGTGTCATGAAAGATAAAACTAAAACTGGAAGGGGGAAATAAAGAGAGCTGGTGATGAGATATTCCTCATTTGTTCAACCCTCCTGTGAATGGGGAGACGAAGAAAGAGGGGAGAATAATACTAGTTGCAGTTGTTGCGGGGGGATTCAAATTTAATTAATAAATTTGGAACATAAAATCAGTCTCAGTAATGATGACCAAGACAACCATGATTGATTGTTTTTAAAACCCATCTGGTTCACCAACATCCTTTAGGGAAGGAAATTTGCCATCCTGACCTGGTTTGGCTTATGTATGACTCTGGACCCACAGCCCCAAAATTGCTGTCTGAAATGCCGAACAAGCGATTCATTTTTAAGGACAATGAATACTGCCCTTGGCATGACACACACAGCCCATGAAAGAACAATGATAGAGAAGAAATTTCCCACAACCTTCTTAGTCTTTTCACTATTTTGTTGGAACTTTTACAACTCTAGAAATAGATAATAGATTTTTAGATTTGCTTTGCTTTGCCTGTTGTCAATCCACTGAGGACTACCTCAGCTGGTCTAGTAGAGTCACAGGGACAGCAAGAGAGTCCTACAGCACAGAAGAGGCCCTTCGGCCCATCAAGTCCTAGAGGGAGAACAGGAACGAAAAGAGGGGTATGGGATACCCTCGGCAGAGAAGATTAAGGATAATCCAAAAAGTTTCTACCAGTACATTAACAGCAAGAGAGCAACCAGATGGTAGAAGACAGGGTTGTGGTGGACAATTGTTTCCTTGGACTGGAGGCCAGGAACCAGCAGTGTTCTGCAGGGATTTGTACTAGGTCCACTGCTGTTTGTCATTTATATAAATGATTTCGGTGAGAGTGTAGAAAGCATGGTTAGTAAGTTTGCGGGTGACTCTAAAATTGGTGGTATAGCAGACAGTAAAGAATGTTATCTAAGTTAACCTTGATTAATTGGGCCAATGGGCTGAGGAGTGGCAAATGCAGTTTAATTTGGATAAATGCGAGGTATTGCATTTTAGTAAAACAAACAAGGGCAGGACTTCTACAGTTAAAAGTAGGGCCTTGGGTAGTTTTGTAGAATAGAGAGACCTAGGGGCTCAGGTACATAATTTAAAGACGACATGAGGGGCAACTTTTTCACAACAGAGTGGTTCTTGTGTGGAATGAACTTCCAGAGGAAGTGACAGATGTGGCAACAGTTATAATATTTAAAAGACATTTGAATAAGTACATGAATAAGAAATATTTGGAGGGATATGGGCCAAGAGCAGGCAGGTGGGACTAGTGTAGTCTGGGATTATGGTCAGCATGGACTTGTTGGACTGAGGGCTCTGTTTTCGTGCTGTATGACTTTACGACCCTAAATCTGCACCAACCGATCTACACTCATCACATTTTCCAGCACTTGGCCCTTGAATGTTAAGACATTTCACATGCTTATCCACATACTTATTAAAGATTAAGAGGTTTCCCTTCATCTTCTGTCTCTGGTAATGCAGGTTCCTGTTTTAAAAATGATGTTCAATACCATTCGCCTTTCCAGTAACTGATAGCTACGAACACCCTGTCTTCTGTAGCTGCACAATGTCCAGAAGCAAACTCTAAGGCCCAGACAAAAAAAAACCTCTTAATTCCATATGGAGTAAAACCCAATTTTTAGATCTCCCATCTTTGGCATTGATCAAACTCTCAATTTTACAGCTAGATAAGATCTTGTAACTCAGCTGCAGGATAAAGTCTCACACAGCAACTTGAAGAATTTCCAGTTAGGTGCACACCTCTTTAGGAAGGCGAGAACTGGGATATAAACTAAACATTCTTTCCAGTAATAAGAAGCACCATTTCTAACATCTGGAGAATGTGCACCATTTAACAGCAATAATCCACAGAATCCCTACAGTATGGAAACAGGCCATTCAGCCCAACACATCCACACCGACCCTCCGAAGAGCATCCCCACCCAGACACGTGCCCCAACCCTATCCCTCTAAATCTGCATTTCCCATGGCTAACGCACCTCACCTACACATCCCCGAACACTATGGGTTATTTAGTGTGACCAATCCACTTAACTTGCACATCTTTAGACAGTGAGGGGAAACCGGAGCACCTGGCGGAAACCCACACAGACACGGGGAGAATGTGCAAACTCCACACAGAGTCACCCGAGGGTGTAATCAAACTCGGGTCCCTGGTGCTGTGAGGTAGCTGTACTAACCACTGAGCCACCATGCTACCCAATGTGAAATACAAGATGTCAGTCCCTGAAGCCAAGAAAATACAGTCCCGTATGGCCAAAGAAAATACAGTCTTGAACGGATTGTAGCCATATGCCACCTGATAACCTAACCTACCTCTGCTCCCTTTCCCCATTTAGGTGACAGTATCAGCTTACATTTTTTTTTGCAAAGGTGGAACTTCTTTCAAAGAACAAGGAGGACTCTACCTACATGTCTACACTACAGCACAACAGCGTTTTAAAATAAAAAGACAATATATTGCAAACTTTTGCACAGCTGTAACAAAATGTGGAATTGACAGTTTTGGCTCTCCTGAAATACTCTTAATAATCATAACGATTAAATACATTCGATATTGAAATATCCTTTTAATCTCCAAATCCACTTAAAAAGAACAGTACAGTCCTGGAGAGAAAGGAGAGAAACCTTATCCAGTGAATCGTGGCTGAATTTTCTGACTTGTAGGACGATTCACAGGATCAGATTTTCATCCTGGAGACTTGAGTGCCATTTCCAAGACTATAACTGTGCTGCATGTAGCATTTCTGTTTTGAGTTTAGAAAATCTATGTTCTAAAGTGCCAAGTAGGCATTGCACTTTACCTGCTTGTGCTAGATACATTACTAGTGGTTGACGGAGAGCTAAAGACATTATCTAATTCTGCTAGTGCTGCATACTTGTTTGCTGAGGAGCTTGACTGATTGGCAGTCATCACAGAAGATCCAACAGTTGTTGAGCTGAAATTAGTCAGTTGACTACTTCCACCTATATATTGGAGGAAAAACAGAAATAATTCAAAAAGATTATGCAGCCTGCAAGAGAGTATTTTTGAAGCGCAAAATGATGTGATTATTAAGGATTAGCTTTTGTGAATACTTTGATACTAAAGAACTAATTAAGAAAGAAAATGAATAGTTGAAAGGTTTTTAGTTAACCATACTGTTGAATTGTGATCACTAAACAGTGGGGTGGGGGCAGGGGATGTGTTTGGCACATCAGGGGCAAATGATAGCAACAGCCATATCAGTGCCACCATGATTGGCTCTGTTGTGCAGCAGGGAAGGTTGAAGTGTAGGCAAGCACAGATGATAAGGGTCTCTATAGTAATGGGGCACAGATTGGCATTTCTACGGTCACAAGTGAGACCCCAGAATGGGGTATTGCCTCGCTGGTGCCAGGTTCAATGATGTCTCTGAGCATGCACAGGGTATTCTGAAGGGGGAGGGTGAGCAGATAGCAGTCATGGCCCGTCTTGGTACAAACGACATAAGCAGAAAGAGAGATGAAGTTCTGCAAAGAGAATTTAGGGAGTTAGGTATGAAGTTGAAAAGCAGGGCTTCTAGGGTTGTAATCTTGGGAATACTCCCTGTGGCATGTGCTAGTGAGGCTAGAAATAGGAAAATACAGTTGAATGTGTGGCTGAAGAGATAGTATAGGAGGGAGGGATTCAGGTATCTGGATCATTGGGATCTCTTCTAGGGCAGATGGGATCTGTACAAGAGGGACACCAATATCGTCACAGGGAGGTTTGCTTGTGGCATTAGGGAGGGTTTAAACTAGCGGCAGGAGGTCACCAAGTGGAGTGTTTGAAGAGAAGAGAGGGGCTAAATCAAGTAAGTCTAGTAGGAAGAACAGACAGGACTACTTTAATAAACACGGTGGGACTAGTGGTCTGAAGTGTATTCGTTTTAATGCAAGGAGTATAACAGATAAGGCAGATGAGCTTAGAGCCTGGATTAGTAGATGTTGTATCTATTACAGAAACCTGGTTGAGAGAAGGGCAGGACTGGCAGCTCAACATTCCAGGGTTTAGATGCTTCAGGCATGAATGACAGGGATGTAAAGAGGGTTTCTTGAAACAATATGTAGGTAGCCGAACGAAGGAAGGGGCCTGTAGGAGGTTTTTAAAACCCAGCTGACCAGTGTTCATGGACCAGCACGTTCCTGAGAGGATGAAAGATAAGGATGGCAAGATTCGGGAATCTTAGATGACAAGAGAGACAAGCTTAATTAAAATCAAAAAGGAAGCATATTTAAGGTTCATGAAATAGAAATCAATTGGGCCCTTGAGAAGTATAAAGGAAGCAAAGAAGTATAAAGGAAGAAAAGAACTTAAACAAGAAATTAGGAGAGCTACAGGGAGCCTTGAAATTTCTTTGGCAAGTAGGATTAAGGAGAATCCCAAGGTGTTTTATATATATATTAGGACCAAGAAGGTATCTAGGGAAAGGGTAGGTCCCCTCGAGGACAAAGGAGAGAATTTGTGTGTGGAGTAAGAGCAAGTGGGTGACATCTTCAATGAGTACTTAAGATTGCTATTCACTAAGGAGAAAGATATCCATAACAGTAAGCTTAACGAGGGGTATGTTGATATTCTTAGGCATGTTGATATTAAGACGGTGGTGCTGGATGCCTTGAAAAACATTATGGTAGATAAGGCCCCAGGGATCTATCCCAGGATACACAGGGAGACAAGGGAGGAGAGTGCTGAGGTCTTGACAGAAATCTTTGCGTCCTCTTTAGCCACAGGTGAGGTCCAAGAAGACTGGAGAATATCCAATGTTGTTTCTTTGTTCAAGAAAGGCAATGGGGATATTCCAGGAAATTATAGGCCAGTGAACCGTAACATCAACAGTAGAGAAATTATTGAGAAGATTCTTAGAGATAGAATTTAACATGCATTTGGAGAAGAATGGATTTATTAGGGATTATCAGCATGGCTTTTTGCGGGGAAGGGTCTTGTCTCACAAACTTGATTGAGGTTATTGAAGAAATGACGAAGATGATTGATGAGGATAAGGCAGTAGATATTGTTTACATGGACTTTACTAGAGCATTTGACAAGGTCCCTCATGGTAGGCTGGTCCAGAAGATCAAATTGCATGGAATCTATGGTGAGTTGGCAAATCAAATTCAAAATGGGTGTGGCCACAGATGACAGAGGATAACCGTGGAGGGTATTTTTCTGACTGGAGATCTGTGACCAGTGGTGTTCCACAAGGGTCAGTGCTGGAACCTCTGTTGTTTGTAATATATAAATAAATGATCTGGATGAAAATGTAGGTGGTCTGATTGGTAAGTTTACAGATGATACAAAAATTTGTGGAGCTATGGATAGTGAGGAAAGATATTGAAGAATGCAGCAGGATACAGATCAGATGGAAAGTTGGGCAGGGAAATGGTGGATGGAGTGCAATCCAGGCAAGTGTGAGGTGATGCATTTTGGGCAGTTAAACTCAAGAGTAAAGTATCCTCTCAATGGCCAGACCCTTACAAGCATTGATATATACAGGGATCTTGGGGTCTAAATCCATTGCTCCGTGAAAGTGGCAACACATGTGGATAAAGTAGTAAAGGCTGAATATGACATGCTTGCTTTCATCGATCAGGGCATTGTGTGTATAAATAGACAAGTCACATTGCAACCGTTTAAGACTTTGGTCAGGCCACATTTGCAGTACTTTGTGCACCTCTGGTTGCTGCACTATAGGAAGGTTGTAGAGAGGTTGATTACAGGACGTTGTCTGGGTTGGAGTGTATAAAAGAGGTTTATAAAAAGAGGTTGGACAAACTTGTGTTGTTTTTGCTAGAGAATGGGAGGCTGAGGGGCAACCCGGCAGCAGTATATAAAACTTTGACAGGCATGGACAGGGTGGATAGTTAGACTCTCTTTCTCAGGGTGGAAATGTCAAAGACTTTGGGAGGCACAGGTTTAAGATGAAAGGGGAAAGTTTTAAAGAAATGATCAAGAAAGCTTTTGTTTTACAGAGAGTAATAGGTATCTAGAACATGTTGCCAGGGGAGGTGGTAAAAGTAGATACAATAGCAAAGTTTAATTGGCATTTAGACAGACACATGAACAAGCAGGGAATACAGGGATGCAGACTATGTGCAGGAAGATGGTCTTAGTTTAGAATATCATAACTGGCACAGACATGGTGGGCTGAAGGGCCTGTCCCTGTGCTGTACTGTTCAATGCTCTAATTGTAAGAGGTAAGCAACTCACTAACAGTTATTGCTAAATCTCATCAAAACTGAAAACAAAACTAAGCCAAACCAATTTGTGATAGGCTTAGGAGAAAAGACGACTCAGAGTATACCCTGGTGATGTATTACTAAGTTACAGGACTTAGAAAAAATCTAAAGTACTTCAATGATTTCAATTGGACAGGGGGCCTCAGATCAGTCAGAGATTCTTACTACTGTTACTGCAAAGTGAATGTGTGTAAATGTTAGAGAGATCAAAGGCTAACCAATAATGCCTCCCTATCTTCACAAAACAGTTCAGTGTTACAACAATGCTCATCACTCAAGCTTACACATGCCAGAAAGTCACTTGGTGTAAATAATAAAGGCCTGATGATGCTCAAATATATATTATCATTGTTTGAGTGACAACAGGTCTTTATTACCCATTCATATTGCAAAGTAAATTATCTTAATGCGGCTGAGTAATGTACCAGTGGCGTTACCTTGTGTAGAGGTACTATTGCTGAAAACATTATCCAGATCAGCAAGGGCTGCATATTTATCCTGAGTAACAGCATGTGCTTTGTTTACAGTTGTGTCATTCCCAGAGGAACAGAAAACTCCAAAGTCAGCACTAGAAGATTTTGGGAAGTTATCAAAATTTGCAAAATTAGCATTTGTTGATGCAGAGGATCCACCTGTTATGAGAAAAAAAGGATTCGGAGAAACATTGGCGTTCAGCACAGAGGATAATCTTGCAGTAATAAGTTACAAATACAAGCAACCAAAACTTGATAATTGGCAACAAAATATATTTATAATCTAAACATATGACTAAGACACATTTGAAAAGTATATATCCACTGATAATGCTCTTTAAATTGCATCCTCAATTTTCAAACAGGAGTTTTAACCTAAAAATGCCACTTAAAATGGAATCAGTATTTGAATTGAATATTAGATGAGAGGCGATCTCACTGAACAAAACAATTGTAAGAAAGCTTGTCAGGGAAGACTTCTACTTGAGTTAAGAGTCTGGAACTGGAGGTTTCAGTCTCAAGGTAAAGAGGTCGCCCACTTAAGCCAAAGATAATGAAACATTTCTTTACTCAAGATTGTTGATTGAAATTCTCTACCCCAGAGACTTTGGATGTTCAGTTTTTAAGCATAGTTCAGACTGAGGTTGGGAGATTTTTTTGACTCTTGTGGGAAATGAGGATCAGGAGGGAAACGAGGGTTGATGGCAGCTTCAGCCATGATCTTTCACGAATGGCACAGAAAGCACAAGGAGCCATTTGTCCTACTCCTCCTTCTAATTCTAATGGCTCTATATTCTTCACATGAATGACTTCCTTGGTCATTTCAAGGAGTCAACCATATTGCCCAGGGTCTGGAGTCACATATAGGTTAGACCAAGTGAAAACAGCAGATTTCCTACCCTAAAGAGCATCAGTAAAAGAGATGGATTTCTACAACCATCTGGTTGTTAACAAAGTCACCATTAATGATGCTGGTTTTTCTTGAAGATTCCGAGTTACTTAGTTAACTGGATTTAAATTACCGAGCAGCCATGGTGAATTTTGAACACGTAATTCTGGATTAGTGGGACAAGTTCCTGGATTGCTCGACCAGTAACATGACCACTGTACTATTATTCCCAGTCAACAACCCAAACTCAAAAATATCTCGTTTAGCTCTTATCAGAATGGTAAATCCCAAACAATTCTTTCCTGTGAAATTGAGTGCTGGGGTTCAGAATTTACTTGGTTCCTTGGCATATTTGCTAGGGCACTGAAACCCAATACATTTGGAGTTCCTCCACTTACTTCACAACAATTAATAGAAAGTTCCTTTCTGAATGTTAGCATGTCAATTTTTTAAAAATCTACTCAAAATTAAGCATTATTCACTCAGGCTAACAGCTCCACTTACATAAATTCAAGTAGAAAATACCTTGTACTCATTATTTTCTGCACAAGGGAAAATAAATCAGTAACAATATTGTCTAAATAGATAAACATGGTTTAAAATCCTGTATAAATGCCTTAACCTGCAAACTTGGCATTACTGGTATTGTGTCAGTTATTTACTTCAGATAGAAAGCACTTAGATACATGTGAGCATCGAAAACTCTAGTGATTCAAAACTCATGAGAGAAAGCTTCTATTTTACCAATTGACCCAAGAATGGAAGGAGAAGCCACACTGAGCTAATTCTCTCATCTGATTGGCATAACAAGATAACAGCATGTCTTTATCACTTTAGAATCTTATTATGTATATGTGTCTGGATCATGATAACTTATGTTCAATTCCTCCAGTTCATTTTGTTTTACAATAAAAAACATTTTTAATATGACCTGATATCCATTCCTAGCCAAAACAGAGTATGTGATTTCTAATCATTGTGCAAAAAAACAAAGTCCAGGTTTGCACATGCTGAGAGAGGTTGGGGAAAGGAATGTAAGGATTTTATTGCTCATTTTACAATCTTGAAATAATAGTTTATAAAGAAGCACTTGGGCGTTTGTTTAATTGCATGCTGAAAGTGCTAAGAAGCCGTTTTTAAGCAGTTCTTTTTTGGGGAGTTGGGGGGAGTCTACTTGAAACAACAGATCACTGCATTATAAAGCAGTCAATATCACTGTACTGCATCTTAATTTTTCAGGTTCTATTTCATTTTTATACAACACTACTTTTAGAAATGTCAAAACAATGGCTCAAAACACAATGGCAGAGGTCCAGCCACTTGATGCACCATATTGCTCAAACTGAAGGGGCAGCAATAACTGGTCAATGAAGATAGTTCACTTGGGGGGAAAAAAAGGAAAATGTAAATTAATAAGTCTGTGTAGATGTCCATACTAAGACTGCCTTTGCTCGTTACTGAATGATGTGGGACATAGAAAGACTAAAAGGATTAATGAATAGTTCACCATGAATATGCAAGTTTGAAATGTGAAAACCGAGACTTGCTTTGAAGTGCTGCTTCTTCCAATGGCATAGATACATACAAAAAATAGCTTTTCTATGAAATAAATCCTCAAGCAATTGGAAACTGGATGGTATAACACAGCACTATCCTTCACATACATTTAAACCTGCCCATATTATTTGCTTTCTAAAATGCCTTTACCCTGTTGGTTATGAGAGTCCAATTCTATTTCAACTGGGACAATGTCAGTTTGGACTGTGTGAATCTTACTCACAGTACATTTTAAAAATGGAAACTGCATGCAAGAATATCTGTGTGGGATTCAGAACACAAAAGAAAAAAATCAACACTGATGAATTGTTGAAGGCTAACAGGTTAAGGGATAGGTTAATACAGATGCTATAGTAGCCCTTTAAGGGGACATTCCAACGAGAGAGAAAAATTCCAAAGGGAGGGCCCACTATCTGTGGTTAACTGATAAGAGTTAAAGATAGTATCAAGCTTAGATGAAAAAAAACTGTAAAGATGGATCACAAGAAAATAGAAAGAACAAAGAAGACCATTACAGTATGAGACAGAACTAGCTAAAAATGTAAAAAAACGTGTTTCTGTGCGTATTTTAAAACAGTTACCACAGTGACCAATGGACCTAATGAATGAGAGCCTGGGGATTAATAATGGAAAATAAGGCCATGGCAGATGAATTGAACAGATAATTTGCATTAGTCTTCACTACAGAGGTTAAAAGTAACATTCCAGAAACAGCTGTAAATTGGAAAATTGAAGAAAGGGGGGAATTTAAGAAAATTACAATCACCAAAGAGGTACTGTGCTAATTGTTGGAGCTGTGGTTGATAAGTCTCTGGGTCCTGACGGGTTTCATCCCAGGGTTTTAAAAGCGGTGGCTAGTGAGATAGTTATGCATTGCTTTTAATTTTCCAAAACTCCCTAGATTTGGGGAAGGTTCTATTAGATTGGAAATTAGCAAATGTAATTCTTTTATTCAGAAACAGGAGACGACAGAAAGGAAACTACAGGCCAATTAGCTTAAAAGCTATTATGGCAGGACCCTTTGAAAATTTGAACATAATCAGGCAAAGTCAAAATGGTTTTATGAATGGCAAATCATATTTTACTGATTTATTGGAGTTCTTTGAGGAAGTCAACCTGGACAAATGTAAGGGAGTGCAATTGATGAGGGCTAACAGGGCAAGGGATTACACTATAAATGGCACTATAAGATCAGAGAGACCTTGGTGTGTCTATCCACAGATCCCTGAAGGTAGCTGGATGAGTAGATATGATGGTCAACAAGGCATATGAGAAACCTGTCTTTATTAGCCGAGGCATGGTTGTATACGAGTAAGGAGGTTATGCTGGAACTGTATGAGTCGTTGGTTAGACCACAATTGGAGCACTGAGTGCAGCTCTGGTTAACATGATACAGGAAGAAGGGATTGTACTAGAGAGGGCACAGAGGCGATTTACCAGAATGCTGCCTGGCTAGAAGGTCTGAGCTAGGAGGAAAGACTGGATAGTCTGGGGTTATTTTCCTTAGAGCAGTGTAGGTTAAAAGGGGGACCTGATAGAGAGGTATAAGATTATGAGGGGCACTTTTTTCACTATTAGAAGGGTCCATAATCAATGGCCATGGATTTGAGGTAAGAGGTAGAAAGATACCAGAACAGTGAGGAGAAAGTTGGACTCAAACTTATTGCTTGAGTAGGAAATATTTAAGCTGTACTTAGATCTTCACTTTCAAAAAAGAAAGTTTTCATCACAGTTTTGTGAATCTTTGGAATTCGTTTCCTCAAAAGGAGGTGGAAGCAGTGACTTTGAATATTTTTAAGGCAGAGGTAGACCAATTCTTGATAAGTGAGAGGATGAAAAGTTATTGGGAGTAGGCGGGAACATGGAGCAACCAGATCGTCCATGACCGTACTCAATGGTAGAGTAGGCTCAAGGGACCTGGTGGCCGACTTCTGCTCCTAATTTGTATGTTCATTTCTAACCTGACATGGGAGCACTTGATGTTGACAGTAAGTGCCTAAACTGGTAAAATGCTTTGTCCTAAACAGGCTTGCTGAGAGAAAATATCCCTCAGTGGTTTATTCCTTTAAAAATGCACTAAACAACGTTTTAAAAAATTAGTTAGTGCACTTGTGCTGAAAACATTTTTAAAAAAGGAAACCGAAGAACTGTTAAAGGAATCGTAGGTTTTCTAATTTTCTAATGGCCAAAATAGACACAAGAATTTTAGGACTTTATTGTACTTTAAATATAGTAAGGAATAAAGGATAAAATAATAATACGAGAGAAAAGGTAGAATGGTATCAAGACTGAACTGAGCACAAAAAGAGACATTGAAGCCAAGGTTCCTACACTGAAATAGCACTTACTGTGGGTGGCTGGGAGAGGAAAAGCAGAGGCAAAGTCACCAAAACTGCTGCCTGATGATAGAGTTCTGAAGACTGGAAAGCAGGAGATATGGAGGGGAAACCAACAAAGAAACAGAAGAAGAGAAATGAAATACAGAAGTGAATTACAGACACAAGACCAAATGAATGGCAATATATAGGCCAAGCTTCAAGTGCTGCATTCTAGGTTGCGTCAATCCAAATAAACATGTTCTCAGAATGAAGAGATGGTGATGTTACTTATCAACAGCTTAAAAACATTGTATTATGCTTTCAAACCATCTCTTCTTATTTCAAAATTCCAAAGTCCTTTGAGGTACTTCCATATTTTACAGTCATTGAAATTCACACAATCTGTATTGCTAAGCAACAAGTAGGAAATGAACTGTTGGTGTGTGAAACAGAAAAAGAGCATACGTGATTAGAAAACAGCATTACATTCATCCAACTTGTCCTAAATACAATCCACTCCCGAGGCAGCCCGTTTTACCTTTGGCAAAATTAAATTAAATCTGGTCTTTTCAACCCTAGTCTTTCTAAATTTGAATCTATGCCATCTTGCCTGTAACTGCATTGACCCAGACTTTGTACTTGTAATGACAGTTAAACTGTTTGCCATCATTATTCTGTGGAATTGAAAGCAACTTCTGGTATGCACAGATGTGCAATTAAAAGTGAAAATCCAGAGGTTGTAATGCTCAGATTCCTGCTCTCCCACAGGCTCTCTTATGGAAATCAATGAATCGATGAGAACTTCCCATTTTACACTGCTGCATATCTCAATGTCAAATATTTTAAACACTAATTTAAAAAAAAATTGGCTTATGACATCTTAGTTCAAAATGTGTATGTTCCAATCTCTATATTGCTGACTGTGAAATTTATAAGTGATCGATAGTCATGTTCATTACTACTTAATTTGTAATCATTAATTGGACACTGACCACAACATTTATGCATTAAATGCACAATAGTCAGCTTTTCAATACACCTTAAAACCTTGCATTCTTCAATAGTGTCACTGTGAAATTTAACATCTGCAATGCAAATATTTCAGGTTTTGAAACACTGCCTTAAACTGAAAATTCCTCTGATTTTTAGTCATCTGATCGCTTTATGAGGCTAAATTTCAAATGTTGTTTGATGTAGCTCCTATCAAGCATTAAGGAGCATTTTACTACATTAAAATGATGATAATAAATGCAGTTGCTGCACTTTCCAGATCTTTATTTTCTTCCTAAGCCCCTTCATTTTAGGAGGTATACACGAATTCAAATCCTCTGCACTTGATAGAATGCATACAAATGGTGAAAATAAAATGCAATAAGAGGAAATCTGCAAATGTTAGAAATCAGAAATACAAAACAGAAAATGTGAATAATTTACAACATTTGAAATAGGAAAAGATATTTTCCCCTTTTGTACTGATAGTCTTTTAGGGTGTTGATAGACAGATTATTAACATTTTTTATTTTTACAAATATAAAATGGATTGAAAATGAGAACCGATGATGTTTGGACTGACTGAACCCATATGAGCTATCTTGTTCCAACATACACAAAGTTACAAACAAAACACCTCACTATTTCTGAAAGCAAAGTTGGCCAGTTAAACCCACCACTACCTGCACAGTTGGACTGGAAAGGTGGCAGACTTGCTGAGGAGAAAGCCCCAAAATTATCAGAAGTATGACAACTTCCAAATGCAAAGTTTGCAAAATCTATATTCATAGAAGTTGGAGCTGTAACAGTAACATGGAAGAAAAGGGATGGAGGAAGAAAACCAAAAACACACGTTAATGATCATGAAAGTCGTGCATAATAAATAAACAGAACACCATGAGTGAAGTAAACAGTTTAGAAAGTTCAGATGATACTGAACTCTCAATGAAAAATCAATCAATATGCATACAGTTAAATAAAACCCCTCTTGAATTGTATTAATTGCCAGATGGTAACTACAGCATCTCCACCTCAATTAAGTGGCTTTTTCTTCCTCAATTTCCATTATGAAACCTTCCCACAAATTGGCTCAACACCTACTTCCTGGTCTCCATCAGTATTAAACTATATTGTGAAGAACTTCCCATTTTACATTACTGTATATCTCAATGTCACAGAGATGTGAAACTTCCACTTTTCTAATCCCTTTTCTGACATTCGGCAGTTCTAAAACAGCCTGTCCCATTTGGGCTAAAGTTATCTCACTTCTAAAAGCTTTCCTTTGCTGGAAAATGGGAGGAACCATTGAATATTGGGACTAGCAAATCCTACAGCCAGATTAAGTGGGGAAGAAATTTTTCTAAGATTCTTTCATAATGTGTTGCTGGCAGCATTGACTGTCCATCTCTATGGGGCTAAAGAAGGTAGGAACAAGCAGTCTCCTTGAGCCACCACAATCCATATGGTGCACCCAAAGTGCTGTTAGAAAGGGAGTTCCAGGATCTTGATCCAATGGAAATGAAAGAATGGTGAGATAGTTCCGAGTTGGGATACTGTATAGCTTGGAGGGGAATTTATAGATGGTGATGGTCCCATGCAATTGCCCCCTTGTCCTTCTAGATGGAGGTGTTGCTGAAGGAGTCTTACTAAGTTGTTGCAGTGTACCTTGAGAAGCTATAAACTTCTGATATTGTGTATGGTTGGTGGAGGGTGCAAACAGGGTTAATTTAAGTTATGTCCTGTGTAGCTTCTCAAACATTGTTGAAGCTGCATTCTTATTGCTAAATGGGGAGTACTTCATCACAGCTCTGACATGTGCCTGGTAGACGGCAGAGACCTTGGGAGTCAGGAAATGAGAATCGGAAATTCTGACCTGCTGTTATAGCTTCAGTATTCACATAGCTTGTCCAGTTGTTTCAAGTCAATAGTAACAGCCAGGATGTTGATAATGGAGAATTCACTGATGGTAATGCCATTGAATGATAGTTACAATTTCTCATGTTGGAGATGGCCATTACCTGGTACTTGTGTGGCACATGTCACTTGCCACGTACAGCCCATTCTGTACACATCTTGCTGCATATAGACTGTTTTACTATCTGTGCAGTCATGAATGGTACTGAACATTGTACAATCATCAACAAACATCCCCACTCCTGACCTAATGATGGGGGCAAGGTCACTGATGAGAGAGAGTAAAAATGGATTATACTCAAGTTCACTCGAATGTGTTGATGATGCTTTGCTCATTGGTCACTGAATTCCACAGCAGTTTTTAATGTTGGCCCTCCTTAAATATTATAACTTGCACTGTAGCACAAGCAATGAGTACACAAGTGAGGGCTTACTGATCAGGGCAGGAGCAGGTATTCAGAGATGATGTGCTCTGTTTTGGGATTTATGACTATTTGCCCAAATCCTTCCTGTAGCAAAAATAATTATATTTAAACATTGGGTCTTTGAGGCAAAGTGCATTCACACAAGTTAGAAAATAGCAATAATGAATATAAAAACAAATGCTAATAGTCTAGGCATTGAATCCGTTTCTCAAAAACTATAAACTGCCAGCAACTAATTAACCTGTTTCACTGGTTGATGAACATAACTGTTGTCTTTGGCTGTGCTTAACGGGGAGGTCTGATCAGGCCCTCTCCTCTGACTGTGAAGAGATTTAAAAATACATACAACAAATTATTTTCTAAAAAAATGTAAGACCATCTATTCACTAAATCAGAAGGTTAAAACAGGGAAAGCAGATGGCAGAAAGGAGAAACATAGTAGTGTGTTGCAATTAAATAGGCAAGCGATGAAGAATGGACTGGAAGCTAGTCTATGTACACTTACAATCTATTATTTACAGAGACCCAGGGAACTTAATATTCACCTCCAAGCAACAGCACCTCTTTCAACCTATTCCTATGTGAATGGGTACAGGTGAATTCACAATTAACGCTCACCACCCAAACATAGTGAAAGACAAATGACACACAATTAACAATGTTTGTTCTATGTTAGTACATGAACAAAGTTATACTAATAGAACCACATGAGTCTGTTTCATGCTACTGCTCAATTGTTGTAAAATAAAGCAATCTAATGGTTTGTAATTAACAATATTTATCAAGAGCTTCCTGATCTGCCTTTAAAAGGCTCAAAGAGGTGCATATCTAAAAGACTCATACATGTGGTTCAGTCATCTGTATCTTTCAAAGATAGGGGGCAGCACGGTGACTCAGTGGTTAGCATGGCTGCCTCACAGCGCCAGGGGCCCAGGTTCGCTTCCAGCCTTGGGCGACTGTGTGTGGAGTTTGCACATTCTCCCAGTGTCTGCGTGGGTTTCCTCCGGGTGCTCACATTTCCTCCCACAGTCCAAAGATGTACAGGGTAGGTGGACTGGCCATGCTAAATTGCCCATAGTGTCCAGGGATGTTTAGGTTAGGTGGGTTAGACATGGGGAAATGCAGGTGTAGGGGAATGGGTCTGGGTGGGATACTCTTTGGAGGGATGGTGCGGACTTGTTGGAACGAATGGCCTGTTTCCACAGTGTAGGGATTCTATGACTGATTCATTGATTGAGAACATGGCAAACCTTTGAAGGTGCGCCTGAAAACAGATAAGACAAGGTCAGATGTACCCAGTTTATCTCCTGTGGTATAGTTCAGATATTAGACAGAATTGGATTATTTAAGATATAAAAACTCATACCATTTACATGAGCAACTAGCATCTCTATATCACAAGCTCCACTTTTGCAACATCTACACTGCCAATAGTGGAGGCATTTGTTCTTTAAAAGTAAGCAAAAAGCTTCAATAGTAGAAGAGATAAATTATTCTATAATCGCCTGATCACTAATGGCACCCTTGGTTCAAATATGGACAAAGGAGCTGATTTCCAGAGGTAAGGTAAGAGTGACAGCCCTTGACATCAAGGCCACATTCGACAGAGTGTGGCATCTAGGTGCCCTAGCAAAACTTGAATCAATGGGAATCGGTGGCAATTCTCTGCTGACTGGCATTATATTTAGCACAAAGGAAGATGTGCCTTGTAGATTGTGGACAGACTTTGAGGAGTCAGGAGGTGAGTTACCCACTGCAGTATTCCTAGCCTCTGACCTGATCTTGTAGCCACTGTGTTTATGTGTTCTGAGGAAGAGTTACTAGACTCGAAACGTTAACTCTGATTTTCTCTTCACAGATGATGCCAGATCTGCAGAGCTTTTCCAGCAACTTCTGTTTTTGTTCATTGTTTATGTGGTAAGTCCAGTTCAGTTTCTGGTCAATGGTGACCCCGAGTTGATAGTGGTGTATTCAGTGAAAGTAGTGCCATTGAATGTCAAAGGGTGGTGGTTAGATTATCGCTTACTGGAGATGGTCATTGCTTGGCATTTGTTTTGTGCGAATGTTACTTGTCACTTGTCAGCCCAAGCGTGGATATTGTCCAGAACAGCTGAACATGGACTGCTTCAGTGCCTGGGTTGTCGCGAATGGTGCTGAACATTGTGCAATCGTCAGTGAACATCCCCACTTCTGACCTTATGATGAAGGGAAGATCATTGATGAAGCAGCTGAAGATGGTTAGGCTGAGGACACTACCCTGAAGAACTCCTGCAGAGATGTCCTGGAGTTGAGATGACTGACCTCAGACAGGTGCAACCATCCTATGTGCCAGGTATGACTCCAACCAGTGGGGAGTTCTCCTGACTTCACTTTTGCTAGGGCTCCTTGATGCCACATCCAGTCAAACGTAGCCTTGATGTCTAGGGCTGTCACTCTCACCTCACCTCTGGAATTCAGCTCTTTTGTCCATGTTTGAACCAAGGCTGTAATGAGGTCAGGAGCTGAGTAGCCCTGGAAGAACCCAACCTGGGCATCATTGAGCAGGTTATTGGTGGCAGGTGCCGCTTGACAGCACTGTTGATGACACATTCAATCACTTTGCAATTTACTTTCCGAATTATTTTTGTGTCATAAGTAAATTCAGCAAAATACCTTTGGTCCCTTCATCCTAATCATCTATACAAATCATAAACAAAGAGGCCCCTTCATTGACCCTTGTGGCACACTACAGTAAATAATCTATTTATGACTACATTGTTTCTATTAGCTCACTAAACTTCTACTTATGCCAACAGTTAACCCATTAAACCATGAATCTCTACTTTCCACAAAAACGTTTGATCTGATACTCCATCAAATGCCTTCTGGGAATTTAAATACAGCATTTCCACTTACTCCCCTTTCTCCACAGCACAATACTTCTGAAAAAAGAACTCCAGTAAGTTAGTTCAACTTATTTTGCTTTCACAAAGTCATGCTGACTCTACCAATTACTACAAACTTTTCTACACGTCCTGCCATACATCTTTAATAATAACTTTGAACTTTGAGTTCTTTGATGAGGTGGCACAGGCAATGATGAGGATAGTGCAGTGGATGCTGTATATTTGGACTTTCAGAAAGCATTTGATACCGTATCATGTGGTAAATTGGTTAGCAAATTAGAAATGTTTGGGATTGATGGGTCCTCGGCAACATGGATTATAAACTGGCTAAAAGATAGGAAACAGAGGGTAGGTATAGATGGACATTTGTCAGATTGGAAATGAGTTGAAAGTGGTGTTCCTCTGGGATCAGTATTGCGACCCTTGCTTTCTATGATTTATAAAAATGATTTGGAGATGGGTGTTGAGGACAAAACCTCTAAATTTGCAGATGACACTAAGCTAGGGAGAAGAATGCATTATGAGATGATACGGAGTGACTTCAGAGGGACATTGACAAGTTGGCCAAATGGGAAGACACCTGGCAGTTGAATTTCAATGCAGAGAAATGTGAGGTATTGCATTTAGGTAGAAGAAACATGGAGAGACAATACAGGCTCAATGGTTCAGCTTTGAGGGGAGTACAGGAGCACAGGGACCTCAGGGTTCATGTGAATGATTCTCTGAACCTGGCCCGGTCAGTTGAAACAGTTAAGAAAGTTTATAGGATCCTTGGGTTTATAAATAGAGGCATAGAATCTAAAAGCAAGGAAGTGATGCTACACTACTTCAAATCATTGTCCAGAACTCATATGGAGCATTGCGCTCAGTTCTGGCCACCCTATTAAATGAAGGATGTTAAAGCCCTAGAGAGTGTGCAAAGGAGGTTTACTAGAATGATACCAGGAATGAGGGATTTTAGATACAAGGAAAAATTAATGAAATTGGCCTTAATCTTCTATGGTCTAATGAGAATAAGGTGGCCTTATTGACATGTTCAAAATTATGAACAATTTTGACAGGGTAAAGGAGGATATTCTGTTTCCGTTAGTTGTTTTGTCAGCCACTCAGGGTCATAAGTTCAAGACTGTCAGTACAAAAGCTAGCAGTGAGATGCGAAACGTATTTACTCAGAGATTAGGATTTGCAGCGTGCTGCATGGGAAAGTGGTGGAGGTCAATTCCATAGGAGGTTTCAAAAGAGAGCTGGATATATTTAAAAGGGATTAATTTAGATGAATATGGAGGTAGGGCAGGAATGTGAGACTAGCTGAGTAGCTCTTTCGGGAGCCAGTAAAAACGTGATGGGTTGAATGGCTTTCTTTTATACGATAAATTCTATGATTCTATCTTCCCAAATGACAGATGTTAAGCTGACTGCCTACAGTTTCCTGCTTTCTGTCTCCTTCTCCTTTGGAATAAAGGAGTTAAATTCACATTTTCCATTTTAACAACTGCATGTTGATATAATGCTCAGCACTGAGATTTCACAGCTTTTAATGTATTACCAGTACCATTATAAACCAATTTTGAAATTGCAGACACGTGATTGCTGGCACAATTCCTTTCTCTATTAATTCACTGCACTAATATTGGACAGTAACTTGCTCTCATTTTTCTTTGTGCCATATAACACTA